ACATTTAACTGTCCCCCCACCACAGGCCTCACACTGCAGCGCTGCGGCCCGGTACGCCTTCCACACCACCGGATCCTGCAGACACACGGTTCCTCCGCCGCGCTTCTCCTCCGCCTCGTTCCTGTTGATGTCCCCCACGCACACCCAGCCTCCCCCCGCCCCCGCCTTGGGGCTGACCGCCCACTTGGAGTGGTCCTGGGTGTTCTTGAAGGAGAAGGTCTGGCCCGGGTTGATGAGCGTGATGTCCAGGACCTTCCAGCCCAGCGAGCAGTTGGAGGGGAGGACGCCCCTGGAGCGGACCCAGAACTGAACCAGGAGGTCCGAGCTGAGGGCGGGGGCCACCCACGCGTGGTACAGGTCTGACGGAGCGGAGGCAGGAGGGGTGAGGGTTAAACCACGGACAAAGTTCAACTCAGAAAGAGAAAGAAGTCGTACCGTCGTCAAACGAGGCTCCTTTGGCAAAGCTGATGAAGTGGGTGCCGCCCCTGGAGGTCAGGGTCACGCTGCGGTTCGACACAGTTTGAAAACGTGGGGAGCGATGCTTTTTGTTGCAGACGGCGGCCAGCGCCGGCACCGAAGACACAAAGGACTCTGGGACGTCGCAGTCGTACACCTCAGGCTGGTTGATCTGCAGCTGTTCGCCTGAGCAGCAAAACACGTCAAACACAGAGAACAGAGCTTCAGTCTAAATCTGACATTTAAAACCAGCCTAATGAGCCTCAGGAGGGAGCGGAGGGAAATTAACCTGCTGCATGCTTAACAGCAAATGATTTTCTCTGTTTTTTTATATTTTCCAGCTAAAATCTGTGAGAACATCTGAAGATTGGCTCTGTAATTATTAGCTGCAGGGCTCTGCTGTATGGAGGACCAAAGCTGGCATAATTAGAAATAAAAGCAGAAATATACAGTATAAAAGGACCAATAAATAAATAAATATACTTAAAATGCACAAATTAAATAAAGAATTAGAACTTTATCTCAAGTTTTATCATTTAAAGCTACTTTGGGATTAATCCGATTAAAAATGTTAATCATTTGGCAGCATTAATAATAATGTAAGGGACAAATGCTTGTACAAGTAAAAGGGAAAACAATATATATATTTTTAAAAACAGTAAAATGTAAATTATGTGCTAAAATTTATAATTTATTAGAAAAATAAATCTGTAGGTCAATTCTAAAACATGAGGTAAAATTCTCCTTTATTTACTTATTGGTCATTTAAATATTTCTGCTTTTATTTCTAATTATGTCAGTTTTGGTCCTCCATACGTTCAGTGCTTTCAGGAGGGAATAAATCTTCAGACACCTTCCTCGTATCTTTTACTGAAACTGTTACAACCTGTTTAAACCTTTTGCTCACTGAATAAAACCATTTTAGTTACAGTTTAATTATCAAGAATCACAGGATGTTTTTAAGTAGATTCTGAAAGTTGCTCACAATGAATATTCAACACAAATCAACAATTACAACATGTAGTTAAGTTGATTTAAATGTAAAGTAAATTTGGACAAACATTTTCTGACAATAGCTTTTGTTTTATATAGTTTTCATTACAGAACCATTAGAACTTTGGTCAATCTGTTTTCTCCTTATTTTTGTGGATTTAAAGCTGCCGGAGCTGAAAACCCAAACCTGAGCCGAGCCCCCCCCCCCTCAGCTGTTTGACCTGACACTTCCAGAGTGTGTCCACACCACCCTGAGACCCTCATCACACCTCAGCTGGAGACACGAGGGTCCTGATGAAACAAATCCCCGCCACAGCGTGAGGGCCCACATTGCTATGGTTACACGCCTCCGTCTAATTACATTACCCCAGACTCTGCCATGGCAACAGAGCCAAGTGAAGTGTGGCAGGAAGCCGCAGCAGGAGCCGGGTGACACGGAGACGACACCTGTTTACGCTGATTATATCCTTGTTGTGTCAATAGCTGCCTGAGCTGCCGGCTGACAACACCACAGAATAATAAGTACCTGCAGGAAAACAGTGATTTATCCTCACCTGCTTTCAGGGTCTGGATTTCCTTTAGCTTTAGCTTAAATCACGTTTCCAGTAGCTTCAGCAGTTTTCACCTGAATGTGATTCTGTTCGTTTGAATAAACTTTCCAGGATCGTCTCCTCTCCTCTAAAGCTCAGTTTGTACCTCGAGTCACACAGCTTGCAGCTCGGAGCGTGTCATTGGTTAGAACTAAATCTAAACATACTAAGTTCTTATCTCACTGATATTAAGGTCTGGATGTCTGATAATTATTTATTGTTAAACAATAATAAAACAGAGGTGTTGGTTTTGGCTCATAGAGTCCCTATAATTCAAATTCTTAATTCATCAGGTTTTAATTGCTCCCATAAGGCTAGAAACCTTGGGGTGGCTTTAGATTCAGATCTAAACATTTTAAAGTTCCTGTGACACGCATACTCTTCAAATACAAAAAGTAAAAAAAACAACAACTTTATATTTAAGAAAGTTCCAATAATACACATGATTTTACCCATTTTATCCCATAACTGACATATTTTCTTTTGAACTTGGCTCAGCCAAAGTGAAACAGGAAGTGACATCAAAGGGGAACTCTTTAACAAACAAAACTCTCTGGTCTTTATTTATTAAAACAATATTATCTGAACTCTTCTTCATCTCTGATAGAGACTCAAAATAATCTTAAGAAACATCAGATTCTTCTCTACAGTCTGGGTTATTAGCTGTTGTAGCAACGCTCTGTTNGACTGTCGTAAAAACTCTGACACAAGCAAAAACAAATCTAATTTGGGTTTCTTTTGCCTACAGTGTGGATGCAGCCACAAAAAGTCAATGATCTGGACCTGATCAGATACTTGTAATCGGCTCAGGACGTCTCTATAATTCCTAACCTTTCCACAGGAGCCCARTCCAAAAGATCTAAACTTTTCCTTTAAAGTCCCCTGATTTATGTAAGTGTGTAAAAACAGGTCAAACTGATGAATGAATGTTCTACWCAGACTCCTTAGTCTGTCGTGTCTTAGTTAGTCTTAGTTTGTCATGTTCACCTGCGTTCCATTCAAACCTTGTTTAAGTACTGATCTTTACGTTTAAAGGCCTGTGCCAGTGTGAGTGGGGTCAGCATTCACAAAGCATGCTTGACAAAGGGTCGACAGAAAACAAATATTCTGTTTAAGTTTAATTAAAGACAGGGCTTCACTGCTTTGTGAATCCCCCTCCCCGGCCCAGAAAGCTCYTGGAGCAGGGGACCACCCGAAAGCACCAGGTTAAAATCAAAACAAAAGAGGCACGATGCAATAAYGAAAACAAACAGAAACACATGTAATCGTTTACGTGGTGAGATCTGAGTGAACAAAATGTGCTTCATTCACTGTCTCTGTCGCTGTGCTCTGTTTGGGTTTCAGGAAAAGTATGGGTGGGGGAGGGGGTGCAAATACATATTATATAAATCCTACTACTCACCCTGCTTTTGTTATCGATCATTCAATTAATTTCTGTGTTTCAGAAAACTGCAAGAATGTTAAGTTTTGATGAGTGAGAGAACAGACAGCGGGAGACAAATCTGAGATGGGCACAGCAAAAAGACAGCAACACGTTCAAAACAAGACCAGAGTCTCTAACCAGCATTAAATTCATACTATGTGATCACGCTCTGCTGGGCTTCAGACAGGAAGTGGTACAAACCTACCTGGAGGCTGGAGATGGCAGAGGGCGGGGTCATCAGACTCTGCTCCAGTAAGGGGTTCAGAGGAGTGTTTCCTGGCAGGTGGGTGGCACGCCAGTAGACCTCCAGGTATTCGGCCAAATGCTCGCAAGCATCTTCTAGCTGGTTCTCATCTAAAATGACATCAAACATATCCTGCAGGGCGAAAAAAATTAAAAAATAAAAACAAATAAAGTCAGACTATGGCCACAGTTAGCCACTTGGATCATGTAGGGCAGAAATAAAGTAAACAACGTACAATTACAACATTTTCTGGCTTAATCTTCTCAGGATGAATATTTGAGCCCCTGAATAAGGACAAATGGTCTAAACCCAATGTCCTCAACCAGCGGTGGGCATGGTTCAGCTAATTTGCTAACAGCTAATAGCGGAAAAGTTTTTTCATTTTGGGGATCAGCTTTTTCTCTTACTGTGAAAACCGTTAGCAGGTCTATTAGATTTTGCTGAATTAGGTTTTGCCAACTTTATGTCTGCTAAAAGCTAACTTTCACAG